CCAAACCCACCGTGGGGGCACGGGGGGGGCTCAGAGACCCCAAAACACCCGGAGACCCCCCCAAACCCACCTGGGGGGCACGGGGGGGTCAGAGACCCCAAAACACCCGGAGACCCCCCCCCAAACCCACCTGGGGGGCACAGGGGGGGGTCAGAGACCCCAAAACACCCGGAGACCCCCCCCAAACCCACCTGAGGGACACCTGGACACCCCAAACCCCCCTTGGGGTGGGCACGGGGGGGTTCGAGAGCCCCCAAATCCCCTCAGGGGGGCACGGACCCCAAAAAGCAGCGGGGAGGACATGGGGGGGGCACTGGAGGGGGTCAGAGCCGGGGTAGGGACGCCCCCAAACCCGCGGGGGGTGCACAGGGACCCCCCAAACCCAGCTGGAGGCAGCACGGGGGGGACGGGGGGGAGGTCACGGAGCAGATTCAGGGGGGTCCCGGGGGGCTTTGGGGGGGGGAGGGTCCCACAGGGGTTGGGGAGGGGTCGGGGGTGTGGGGGGCGGCTGGGCCGCAGCCCAGGCCCGAGGCCTCGGGGGGGGTCCCCGGCGCCCAAGGCCCGGCCGGGGGGTCCCGGGGAAGGCCCCGGGGGGTTTTTGGGGCGGGGGTCCCATGGGAGGGGGTCGGGGTGGCCCCGGGGGGGTCCCACAGGGGGTGAGGGGGGGGGGTCAGGCCCCTGGCGCGCGCTCACCGCCCCGGCGCCGCCGCCATCTTGGATCCGGCCTGACCCTTGACCCCGCCCACGGCCCGACGCCGACGCTTCCCATTGGCTGCGGTGAGCCACGCCCCCCGCCCCGCCCTGGACACGCCTCCCGCGGAGTTCCCGCCTTACCTGGTTGCCGGGGAGACGGAGGCCCCGCCCTCTTCGTGCTGGGATTCGCCTGTGAGACTTGAGCGATGGCAGCGCAACCCAATCAGAGCGCGACTCGGGCAAGAGGCGGAGACGCACCGTGAGGGCGGAACGGAAACCCAATGAAAGGGCGGGAACGCTGAGTGACACACAGGCGCGCCCAATCAGAATGCTGCTTCCGCCCCGTGCCCCGCCCCCGAGGGCTTCCGTAGCAACGCCCCGCCTTTGTGCTCATGGCAACCACCGCCCTGGCGACCGCGGCCCGCCCTTTCCCGAAGAGCCAATCAACAGCGCGCATTCCTGAGTGGCGGCAATCTCAACCAATCAGCAATCGTCTCTGACGGAGCTCGGCAGGGTCACATTGAGTGACGGGTTAGTTAACCAATGAGATCGGAGCGGCCGGCTCGCCAGCCCGCCAATCAGCGTGTGGGGGCGGGGCGTCGGCAGGCCGCGGCTTTGTGGTGAGCGGGGCCGGGGGCGCTGGGGGGGAACTGGGCCAAACTGGGCCAAACTGGCCTGGACTGGGGCCAAGCGGGACTCGTGGGGCCGTGCTGGGCCACGCTGGGAGAGACTGGGACTCACTGGGGCTCAGCAGGACTGACTGGGATGGGCCCCGTTGGGATTGACTGGGACCCGATGGGTGACACAGGGCCAGACCGGGACTGACTGAGGGGGGCCCAGCGGTTCTGACCGAACCCTACTGGGATTGACTGGGCCGCACTGGGACCCCCCAACTGCAGCAGCTCCTCCCCACGGGTCCCCTCCATCCCCCCCAGGAATTCCGGGATCACCGATCCCCCTTTTCCTCGCCCCCAGCCCCTTTTGTCACCCCCCGTTCCCCCTCCAGCCCCGCCGGGATCCCTCCCGCTGATCCTCCCATTCCCCGTCCCCAGTTCAATCACCCCCAGCCCCACAGAAGTTCCCTGAGCGCTGATCCCCCATTTTCCCGTTTTCCCCCCCTTTTCCCATCCCGATGGAGCTCCCAGAGCCCTGACCCCGCTCTAATCCCGTTTTTTCCCGATTTCTCCCCATCCCGATGGAATTCCCGGAGCAGATTCCCCATTTTCTCTGTTTCTTCCCCAATTTTCCCCATTTCCCCACAGCCCGCTGAAGTTCCCCGAGCACTAATCCCCCATTTTCCGCTATTTCTCCCCATTTTCCCCTCTGGCCCCATGGAGTTCCCTGAGCACTGATTTCCCATTTCTCCCTGGTTTTTCCCTCCATTTTCCTCCCATTTTTCCCCATTTTCCCCCTCTTTCCCCACAACCCAATGGAATTCCCAAAGCACTCACTGCCCTTTTCTCCCTGATTTTTCCCTGATTTTTTTCCCTTTTTTCCTCGCATCCCAATGAAATTCCCTGAGCACTGACTCTGTCCTTTTCCCCCTGATTTTTCTCCCCATTTTTCCCCCTCTTTCTGATGGAGTTCCCCGAGCCCTGACTGCCCATATTCCCGTTTTACCCCCATTTTTTCCCCCTCTTTCTGCAGCCCGATGGAATTCCCAGAGCACTGACTGCCCATTTTCCCGTTTTTCCCCCTCTTTCCCCAGCCCGAGTTCCCCAAGCACTGACTCCCCATTTTCCCGTTTTTCCCCCCATTTTTTCCCCCTCTCCCTGTAGCCCGATGGAGCTCCCTGAGCACTGACAACCCATTTTTCCCCATTTTCCCCCTCATTTTCCCCGTTTTTCCCCTCTTTCCGCAGCCCGATGGAGTTCCCCGAGCACAGCCGGCAGCTGCTGCGGGGGCTGCGGGAGCAGCGCTCCCGGGGGATCCTTTGCGACTGCACGGTGCTGGTGGGCACCGCTCCGTTCCCGGCGCACCGGGCCGTGCTGGCCGCCTGCAGCTCCTTCTTCCACCTGTGCTACGCCGAGCCGGGCGGCGCGGGAGGGGCTCGGGGGGCCGTGGTGGCCCTCAACAGCGACATCGTCACGGCCCCGGCCTTCGCGCTGCTGCTGGAGTTCATGTACGAGGGGCGGCTGGCGCTGGCGGCCCCGCTCGAGGACGTGCTGGCCGCCGCCAGTTACCTGCACATGAACGACGTGGTCAAGCTGTGCAAGAAGAAGCTGCAGGCGCGGGGCCCGGCCGAGGCCGACAGCACCAAACGCGAGGAGGACGCCCCCAGCCCGCCCCCGCCGCAGCCCCCGCCGCAAACCCCGCAGCCCCCGCCGGCCGAGGCGGCCGCACCGCCGGAGCCGCCGCTGGTGGACGCGGCCGACACCACCCAGCCCGGGGTTGGGGGCGAGCGACCCCCGCCCAGCCCCAGCAGCTCCAGCGAGGCCGCGCCGGGCCCCGGAGCCGCCCCTCCGCCGGTTCCCTGGGCCGCGCCCTCCGCCCCGGCCGGTGCCATCAAGACCGAGGCCATCGTGATCTCGGACGAGGAGCCCGACGGCGCCCGCCGCCCCCCCGCGCCCCCTCCGCCGCCGCCGCCGCCGCCGCCTCCCCCGCCCCGAGCGGCGGCGTTTGGGGAGGGGGCGGCGCTGGCCCCGGCGCTGGGGGGGCTGCGGGAGCCGCTGTTCCTGGCGCCGCTGGAGCCCCGCGGGGGATTCGGGCTGTTCGCCGAGGAGGCCCCGACGTGTCCCACGTGCGGGAAGACGTTCTCGTGCTCGTACACGCTGCGGCGCCACGCCACCGTGCACACCCGCGAGCGGCCCTACGAGTGCCGCCACTGCCTGCGCTCCTACACGCAGTCCGGGGACCTGTACCGGCACGTCCGCAAGGCCCACAGCCACGGCGGGCCCGCCCGCGGCCCCCGCGACCCCGCCCGCGACGGCGACAACCCGCCCTGACCGCCGCACCCGCCCGGGGCGCGGGGAGGGACCGAGCGGAGCGGGCGGCACCGGCGGGGCTTGGACCGGGCCGGCGGGATGGGGACACCCGATCTGACCGGGACGGCGACACCTGCACGGCCCTGGGCTACCGGAACCGTGACACCCGCCCTGGGCCATCGGGACTGCGACACTTGCCCTGGGCTACCGGAACGGTGACAGCTGCACGGCCCCGAGCCACCGGGACTGCGACACCTGCCCTGGCCAGGACGGCGACACCTGCACGGCCCTGGGCTACCGGGACCCCCGGGATCGCGACACCTGCTGTGGCCGGGCCCAGCCCCGGAGGGTGACCGAGCTGATCGGGACCCCCGGGACCCCGGCCCCGCCCCAGGGGGAACCGGAGGGGCGGGTGGGCGTGGTCTCGAGGTGGGCGTGGCCTCGCGCGGGTGTACGGGGGGATCACGAGCCAATAAAGCGACGCTGGACACGGGCGGTGGGCGGAGCCTGAAGGGGGCGTGGCTTCGCGTGGTTCCACCCCATAATGAGCGGGGGCAGCGCCCCCTGGCGGCTCGGAGGACCTCGGGGGTACCTCCAGGCCCGACTCGGTGCCCTCCCAGTTCCATCCCAGGCGCTTCCACCCCCCTTCCATTCCCTCCCGGTTCCCCTAAATCCCTCCCAGTCCCCCCCGGTCCATCCCAGTGCGCCCCACAAAGCCTTAAACCACTTTAATCACAAAAATAAACTCTGTGCGGCGGCTCCTACAAAAAGAGGGGGGGGGTTTGGGGAGGGGCGGGCGCCCCCTCCCCGTGTCAGGAGCAGGCGGGGGGGTCGCGGCAGGGCGGGCGCGCCCCGAAGAAGGCGGGTTCGGTCAGGGGGTGCAGCAGGAGCAGGAAGCCCAGCACCCCCAGCAGATACGCGGGGAGCAGCGCCCGGCGCCGCGGGTGCCCCAGAGCCGCGCCCAGCGCCGGGAACCCCATGGAGTTACAGAAGGAGTGACACAGCACCGGCCCCGCCAGGTGACCTGGGTTGGGGGGGGGACACAAGGGACATTGGCACCCCAAAAACACACCCGGGAACCCCGAAACCTCTGACAGGATCGGCGGTGTCGCCCCACGCTCCCTGCCACCCGCGGGATCCTGACTCCCCCCCCGGGAGTTACAGGGAAATGGGGATGGGGGACCCCCAAAATCCACCCAAAACACACCCGGGGTCATCGAGCCCCCCCAAACCCACCGGTCCTGAGGAACAGGAAGGCCGTGTAGGCCCCGAACACGGCCGTGTAGGAGAACTGGAATGCTGGGAGGGGCAAAAAGGGGGGTCAGGGGCAGCCCAAAACCCCCCAGCACTCCCCAAATCCACCCCCCACCCCTGCCGGAGACTCAGAGGCACCACAAGGACCACCCTGGCCCCAAAAACTCCACCCTGGGCACCCCAAATCCCACCCTGGGAACCTCAAACCCCAACCTGGGCACCCCAAATCCCACCCTGGGAACCTCAAATCCCACCCTGGGCACCCCAAATCCCACCCTGGGAACCTCAAACCCCACCCTGGGCACCCCAAATCCCACCCTGGGCACCCCAAACCCCACCCTGTGCACCCCAATTTCCCCCAGGCCAGCCCTGGGCACCCCAAGACCCCCCTGGAGCCCCCCAAACCCCCACAGGCCACCATGAAAACTCCCCAGAGTCCCTAAATCCTCACCCTGGACACCCCAAATTCTCTCAGGACACCCTAAACTCCCTTTTGTTCATCCTTGGACACCCCAAATCTTCACTCAGGACATCTCCAGACCCCCCAAATCCCCTCCAGACACCCCAAATCTTTACCCTGGACAACCCAAACTCCCTCAGGAGACCTCTGGACCCCCCAAATTCCCCCCCAGATCCCCCCCAGATCCCCCCTCACCTGCTGCCATGAAGATGCTGCCGACGGAGCCGTGGCGGAAGCGGAGCTGCTCGATCACGTGGTGGAAATGGGCTGGGGGCAGCGGGATTTGGGGTTCTTTGGGGGGTTTGGGGGGTTTGGGGGGGTCGGGGAGTGTTCAGGGCTGCAGGGGAGGGGAGTCAGTGGGAGTTTTGGGGGTTATTTTGGGGTCTCACTCACCCAAATTCCCAAAGAGCAGGGGGCAGGCCAGTACAGCTGGGTTTTGGGGTGGGATTTTGGGGGATTTTGGGGGTTTCACTCACCCATCCCCAAAGAATGAGGGACAGAGCAGCACTGGGAACTGTTTTGGGGTGTTTTTAGGGTTCCACTCACCGACCACAAAGAAGAGGGGGCAGGCCAACCCAGAGGAGGATATTTTAGGGTGTTTTGGGGATGTTTTAGGGTTTTTTGGGATGTTTTAGGGTATTTTTGGGATATTTTAGGGTATTTTTGGGATGTTTTAGGATGTTTTTGGGATATTTTAGGGTGTTTTTGGGATGTTTTTGGGTTCCACTCACCAACCCCGAAGAAGAGGGGGCAGGCCAGCCCAGGAAGGGGGCAGAGGGGGATATTTTAGGGTGCTTTAGGGTGGTTTTGGGATGTTTTTGGGGTGTTTTTAGGGTTCCACTCACCGACCCCAAAGAAGAGGGGGCAGGCCAGCACGGCGGGGCCGGGCCCCGTGCAGGGCACCAGCATGGGCAGCATGCAGGCCCTGAACACCAACTCCTCCGTCAGAGGGGCCACCACCTGGTTCCGCAGCCAGCGCACGTCCCCCAGGCACAGCACCCACACCCGCGGGTCTGGGGGACCCCAAAAACCCCACAGAACTGAGCCCCGAAATCCCAAACGCAGCAAACCCCAACAAACCCCCAACAAACTCAAAAAGCCCCAAAAAAACCCCAAAAACCCAGCCCTGGTTCCACAGCACCCACACCCGCGGGTCTGGGGGACCCCAAAAACCCCACAGAACTGAGCCCCGAAATCCCAAACGCAGCAAACCCCAACAAACCCCAAAAAACTCAAAAAACCCCAAAAAAAACCCAAAAACCCAGCCCTGGTTCCACAGCATCCACACCCGCGGGTCTGGGGGACCCCAAAAACCCCACAGAACTGAGCCCCAAAATCCCAAACGCAGCAAACCCCAACAAACCCCAAAAAACTCAAAAAAAATCAAAAAAACCCCAAAAAAACCCCAAAAACCCAGCGCTGGTTCCACAGCATCCACACCCACGGGTCTGGGGGACCCCAAAATCCCACAGAACGGACCCCCCAAAACCCCAGAGCCCCACACGGCCCCCAAACCCAACAACCCCCCCCCAAAAAAAACCCAAAATCCCACAGAACTGAGCCCCGAATTCCCAGATTCCCACAGGCTCCCCAAACCCAACAAAAACCCAAAAAATCCCCCATTTCACCCACTCAGCCCCCCCCAGTTCCACTCCTCGTGTTGGGGACCCCCTGCCCCCCAAACCCCGATTGCTGAGCCCCCCCAAATTTGTGCCCCCTCCCCAAATTGTCCCCCCCTTACCCAGGGCCACCCTGATGCCATCGAGCCACCGCCAGGGACAGTCCATGGACAGCTGGATCAGCGGCCCCAGGAACAGGATCTGGGGGGTCAGGGGGGATTTGGGGGGGCTCAGGGGGGATTTGGGGGGCTCAGGGGGGGTCGCACCCCCCTTTTCCATCCCCTAGGGGGTCATTGGGGGGATTTAGGGGTTTTTTTGGGGGTCCCATTTTCCACCCCATATCCACCATGGGTGAGGGGGACCAGAGGAGGGGGCAGGATTTGGAATTTTGGGGGGATTTGGGGGGGGTCTGGAGGGATTTGAGGGTCTCAGAAGGGTTTTGGGGGGCTTAGGGAGATTTTTG